CTTAAAAATTTGAAAATATATTTGTTCCAGTAATACACAACTTTCTTAATAAATGTTTAATTTCTGCTATAGATTTGATTTTCAGTCTTTATATTAATTCTGGTTACATTTTCATTGTTGCTGTAGGAAATTGCCACAAACCTGTTGGCACATAGTTATGACTTTACAATCCTGGAGGTCTCAAGCTATAATCAGATTACTATAAAGCCCAGGAGGCAGTAAGTAAATTTCCTTTTCATAAACAGCTGGAAGGTATAATATATTTTCTTGCCTTTTTGCTTTTAGAGACTTTCCTCATTTCTGCACCACATTACTTTTTTCATTCTAATACCTTACTCTTCTAAAGACAATTATGTTTAGGCCTGTTATCGCAAGCCTTCTAGAGAGGAGTATCCAAACTACATCCCCACATACTTATTGATCACAAAGTGCCAACACTGCAAATAAACCTGAATACTAGAATTTTAGCTTAGAAAAAATAAACCTTACATCTTTTGCTTTAAAAGAAAGACAAAAACATATGTTCCATAGCTTTGTCATCACTGGTTTAGGTCTACCTGGATAATTAAGAGTAAACTTTCCACCTCAAGTTTTTATATTAAAGCACTGGCAATGTCTCTTTTCCCAAAAGCTATTTTGTGGCACTGTTTCCCCTCAAACTCGTGTGATGAATTCCTAATATATTGAACATGATTTTCTATATAAATAGGGTTGTCACAGGTTTCTATAGAAATAGGGTTGTAATTAGTTAAGATTAAGTCATGCTCGAGTAGGGTTGGCTTTTACTCTAACATGAATAGATGTATATGTCCTTATAAAAATAATGTTATCTAACAAGAAAGGAAAATGGAAAGAAGACTACAGGAGAAGGCACAGAGTGACAGCAGCCATCCCCAAGCCTCAGATGAACAGAGCCAGAAGAGATTGAAACACAGCTTCTTTATGTGTTCATAGGACCCAAGCTGCTGATTCTCTGATTTTTCTGGCCTTTGAGAAAATAAGGTTCCATTTCTCTTAAGTATCCAGTCTTTCATTGATTGTTATAGCAGCCCTAAGAAATGAATACACCATAGAAAGAGCCATTTCATAGGTCAGAATTACGACACACAGTTTTAGGAGGCCTCAGCTAACATGCTGTTTAACTATTTTCTAGTTTTTCATTTATCAGCATTACGAAAAAAATTTTTTTTATTCATTAAAAGCTCAGCATAGGAATTCCCCTTTTGTTGCTTTTTTTCCTTTTTGGTTAACTAATGTACTTAACTATATTTTTATGACAGTATAAATTGCAGTAAAATAAATGACAATAAATACAGAATAAGAACATTTTTAAAAATTTCAGATTTGTAAAATGGTCCCCTATAATTAGAATGTTTTCTTCCTTCATTGCATCATGATCCTTCATCCCCCAACCACACAGTTTACAAACCACTTATGTATCTCCTCTGCTGATTTGCTTCGCAATATTGTCAATTATCTATTTTAATTTTCTATAAATGAAATCAAATAGCATATACCATCTTATGCTTTCCACTATTGTCAGGCATAGAGAGGTTGAAGTTTATTTGTGTTTTATTTATGTCTTGATTACTTTCGTCATTTCTGAGACAAAATACTTAATCCCCAAAATTGAGAGAGAAAAGGTTTATTTTAGCTCACAGTTTGTGAAGGCTTTAGTCAATATATCAGCTGGCTCCAAGGCAGGGTGGTATAGCATTGGGGCAATACTTCAAGGCAGCAGAAGACACCTACATTAGTCCACCTGCAAGAGTTACCAAAAATCCTAAAAGCTTCAGCATAACATTCCACATCCCAAGTCTCCTCCAGGATATAAGGCAAACTCTTAGCTGTAAATCCCTGTACAAATGAAAAGTTGAACCCCTCCAATATTCAATGGCACATTAACATTTTAATACATTTTAATTACAAAAGTTACAAGCAAGTCAAAAATTCAGCAGGACAAACATTAAGTCCTGTTGTTCCATGTGCAGCATCTGAAGCAACCTGTGGCAAATTGTGAGCTCCAAAGGGCTTGTGTGACTCTATGCCTGTGGCCTTTCCAATGGTTCTAGTTCCCACAGCTTCTCTCTTAGGCCTGCTTTGCTCCCTCCTTGCAGGTTACATTATATGAACCATATTCCTGGCTTTTCCAAAGTTCTGGGCTCTCCACTATACCTTTGACTTCAACTTCAGAGCTTCACATACTGCTATCTCCAGGTCATGCTGCCTGGCTTGTGAGACCTGCTGAAATCAAGGTGAAACCTTTTTTTTTTTTTAAACCTCATAGCTTTTACAATTTTCATGCACCTAAAACCAGCTCCACTTGGATGATGATAAGCTCTGCTGCCAATTGGAGTAGTAACCAGGCTTTCCTCTCTCAGGGCTGAAGGACTTGAGTGCTTGGATTGCTGAGCACTCTGAACCCAATTCTGAGGAACAAAGTTTCTACGCTGCTGCCATCCTGGAGTATGGTGCTCTGTGGCTTTTTCCTCAAAGCAAAACTTTTGAAGTCTTGAGGCTGAAAAAATGTAAAGACTTACTGCTTCCTGTGATGCCCTTAGGCCATGCTTTTTATTATCTTATTTCCTCTCAGCAATGAAAATATCCTCAGCTCTATCTGTGTAGTGCACAATTTTACTGGAGCTTCCCTTCTGGCCAAACTCACATTTTAAGTCACCCTGTTGGACTCTTTGCTTTTGAAACGTAACATAGATCTGGCTAAAAGCCACACAATAGCCATGCCACAGCCTCAATATTTGACTGCCTTGAAATTTCTTTTGCCAGGTTAATTAGTTTATAGCTCTTAATCTTAGTCTCAGGCAAAGTCTCTGGATATGAGTGAAATAACAGACAAACTTTTTGCAAAGTCATAACACTCTCATCATTTTTAGTTCAGCACCCAATGCAGTGCTTTCCAGCAGAAGACTCCCTTGCCTAGTCTTTAACAGTAGGATTTCTATCAGTCTGTTCATCTTCCAAGCACTAACCATAATCTCCCATACAGAATAGCCTAAGGCATTCCAAACCTACTCTTTCAGTAGACATCTCTGAACTTTTCCAGACTCCTCAAGCCATTCCTAAAGGCTCGTAAGCTGGTGCTAAATTTCCTGGTGCCAAATTCTGTCTTATTAGTTTTCTCTCTTTGCTGAGACAAAATACTCAATTCTCAAAATCAAGCAAAGAACAGTTTATTTAGTCCACAGTTTGTGATTTAACTCCACAATCAGTTGCCTCCAGGACAGAGTGGCATGGCACAGAGGCAACATTACAAAGTGGCAAAAGACTATAAAGGCAACAAGAGCAAATAGGGGGAAACAAGCCTCTTTTCCTTCCTTATAGTGTAAGCAGGCTGCCACCCCTAGGGAAAGTGTAGCACTCACCATCTCTGTGCCCTCCTGGAACACAGGTTCAGCATGTTTACAAAGTGAGGATCCTGACCCCCTGCTGGTCACTTAGTTAAACTTCTAAGCTTCTCAAATTGACACGTTGAATCAACCATAACAGTATGTTAGTTGTTCAGTCCCTTTTTTATCTGATTAATATTCCATTAAGTGCATGTAGCACAATTGATTTAGCTGCCGTTTGTGAATTTCTCCAGGTTTTTTTCTATTATGAATAAAGATCTTCTGAATTTTGTTATACAGTATTTTCATGAACTTATATTTTCATGTCCTTTGGACAAATGAATAGAGATCAAGTCACTGAGTCATGGAAGATGCATGGTTGATTTTATAAGAACGTGTTGGAATGACTACCCACTTTAAATTACAACTAGCAATATTTAAAGTCAAGTTTTGGGGCCTGGGATATTTCTCAGTGGCATAGCACCACCAGCCTGGCAAGTATGAACTGCTGAGTTTGGTTCTGGGTGCCAAATAATAAAAATAGAAGTAATAAAAATAAAATAAATTTGAGTTGTTTCATATGCATATTTTTGTTTGGAAATAATCTTAGATTTACATAGAAGTACAAAAATAGTACAAATTTATTTTGGCACATTTAACTTTCTCCACAGAAAATATGCTGCATTAGTCTATCTATATATTATTGTCTTTATGCAACATTATCAAATCAAGGATAGTGACAGGATATTTTTCAAATTCTGATACAGTAATGCTCCTATATAATGCTGTTGATTAAAATACAGACCTTAGTTTGACTCATAAGTTTTTACATACACTCTAAGATGTGTCTGTGTGTGTATAACAGCTTTAAAACTTGAATCATGCAGCAGCTAAACATACTCACTATTGCAATCATGACAATGAACTGTTCCATCAGGCACAATTCTTTCTTGGGCCCTTCCTCCCATCTGATAATCCCTGGCCTCAACTGGCTTTTTCTACATTCCTATAATGTTGCTAATTTAAGTATGATATGTAAGCAGATCATACAGTATGCAATTATTGAAGTTAACATGCCACTCAGCACAGTACTTTTGAGATCCATCCAAATTGTCTGTATCACAGTCCTTTCTTCCGAGCTGCATTATTTTCCTTTGCTTGAGTGTACTATATACATCTATCCATTCACTAAATGAAGATAGAAAGCTTTTTGAAGATCCATTGTGTGTTACCTTTATTACTAGTTAAACCCATTTTATTGAACTGTGGTGCTGTATTAGAAGAAAATAACATGATTTATTGCTCTGTTTATCAGGTAATGATTATTTGGGTTGTTTCCAACTTGTAGTATTGGTTTATTATGGATAGGACTGTTATAAGCAAAAGTACTTGTATAAAAGTATGTTTCCATTCCTCTTGGATGAACAAAATGAAATTTCTTATCATGTGGTAAAATCATTTCACAAGAAACTTCCAAATGACTTTCACTTGGGAATGCACCACTTAGCATTCCATCAGTAATGTATGAAAGCCCCAGCTGTCCCACAATTGGTTGATTGTTTTATAAAAGTCTCAAATATTTTAACTGTTATGTGTTTTGGTATTTGACAAAACTAAATAACTTTTGTAACCATTTTTTCGTATTACCACACTAGTGAGTTTTTCACTTACTGTGCCACCTATTTGTGCAAGTGAAAGTACCTCTCTCCCCGCCTAAGTCTTGAGCAGGGCTCTTCAGGAGCCCCAGCTATGGGTTTGGGCACAGGGTGCAGGTGCCCGGAGATTACTGTGTGCTTGCTGCACAGAAGTAGGTGGCCGAGTCTCTAGGCTGCACAGTCCTGATATGCAGGGAAAACTCTCTGGCATCTTTACTGAAGAAGACTGTGAATCTTCCATCCTTCTTTTTATTCAAAGTTTCAGGTATGGCTATCAGTAATTCAGGTCCTTTTCCAGGGAACTGCCGGTACCACAAGAAATAGTCAAGTGCTCTGTTTTCATATGTGCAGTTCAGAATTGAAATCTCTCCTTCCTGGACAGTCAGAGACTGAGAATTTTGTTTCACTTGCTGCTGGTCACTCTTATCCTTCTGTTGGCCCCTCACCCCTGCTTAGAAAGATAAAAAAAAAAAAATGTCTTTAGGCTGCAAACTTTGCATTCCTCCTTTGAAGTTTTACCTGCATGATTTTGTCTGATCTCTAAAGTTCTCATTCCTCCAGTTTAACAATATATCCTGGAGTTTATCTTCTACTACTCACATGCCAGTTGAAGTCCTAGAATTAAAAATGATGCTTTCAAGATTTTGTCCATTTCCCTTGAAGGCAGGGTTCAGTGCAATCCCAGCTAGATTTTTATTCTTCACAAATATCTGGAGCTCTGACTTTAAACTCACATTCACTGCGGTTTTTCAACAGGCTCCACCCTTTCACAATTGCTTTACTGCTTAAAGTTGTTTCTGGGGAGAGAAAGCTCTTTCCTGTTTTGTCCTAATTTAAAATTGCATGAAGTACAGTCATTTAGAATCAGAAGTTCCTTTATTACATACTGATAAGGATCAAACTCAAACTTCTACTACTCACTTTCTTTGTTTTCTTTATACTTCCTAGGAGGTTAAAAATCACTCTCTAACACTCTTGGGTATGTTAGTAATAGTCATCCTGATTTACAAGAGTGGAAGAAGGAATCACATGAAGTTTATGAATTAGCACTAATAGTGGTATTTCATTTTTATTACAGACATTAACAAAGTTTACTAAGGACACACCATAGGCAAAATATCCATTTACAATCTAAGTTCATGAACTAGGGTACACAAAATATATGCCCCCATTTTCTTTAATGCCTTGAATTTTATTATAGCCTTTCAAGTGTGTTTATATTCCAATTAACATTAATAATTGATAATAGGAAATGAAATTGATACTATTTCCTTTACATTTCTTATAAATTATACACCAAGTAAATTAAATATTTCTAAAAATATAACTGAAGAAAATTTTGGAAGGACTTGTATTGCTGGTTCTGCAGGACATTTGAACTGCTGATGGATAAGAAAAATTTGTTAGATTTCAAAAGATATGAATTTTGGTCAACAAGAAATGCAGCACTCTTGGTAAATCTCATACTAAATTTCAGTAAACATGAAATAGTTTTTTCAATTTTTTTTCAGTGATAAGATGTAAAAAAATGAAAGATTTTGTTTTGGTTTTAATATTTGCACTGGTGAGACAGACATACAGATAGAGGTATTCAGGACAAATTCCAACACAACACTAAAAGTGGTGATAATTTGTATTGTAAATAATAAAAGTTAAGGAACACAGGAAGACATGTTATTGTGGGGAGAGCAGAGAATTTTGTTGTATCTATATTTGATGCAATTTCCAATCCAATAAATCGAATCCAAATTATTCATAGTCCAATAGGATTGGTTCATATTTCTTCATTTCTATCAAAACAAATTCTACTTTAATAAACTAGAGAATGTTTTTTGCTAGATTAAATTTTGCGTATTTTTTTTTCATTTATTTATTCCCTTGAAATGTATCTATCTTAGAATATACACCTCTAGCTCTGCTGGGTACATTGCAAGACCTCCAGTCTTGAAGCCATGAACAGCACCAAACTCTCTGTATAATGTATGTTTTTCCATACTTACAAACTATAATAAAATACCATTTTTGATTTAAGAAAAGCACTTTATCTCGTGTTTGTCATGTCTACATCATTAGTTGCACTTTGGGAGCCTTATTAAGTAAAACAAGGATTACACACAAGTACTGTTTGTCATGTCTACATCGTTAGCCGCACTTTGGGAGCTTTATTAAGTAAAACAAGGATTAAACACAAGTGCTGTCACACCTTAACAATCATTTTGATAACGTGACAGCTACTAAGTGACAAATCAGCAGATAGCACACAGCGTGAATACCCTGGACAAAACAATGATTCATGTCTTCGGTGGGGTGGAATAAGACAGGAAGAGGTTTTATCATGCTACTTGGAGCAGTGTGAAGTTTTAATTTAGTGAAATACTTATTTATGATTTTCCATTCAATATTTTCATGATTGGCTACAGAAATACGCAGAAAATGAGCCTGAAAATAAAGAGGGAATACCGTCAATGTCCCGAAATTCTTGCCAGATGAGTAAGACTTGAGTCGCATTCATAAAAGACATGGTTTTAATCTCCAGTCTAGTCCCAGTACTCATGCACAGCTAGGTGAAGCCTGCCAGAGCTGTGAATACCTAGATAAGACCGAGGCCAAGAGATGAACTCTGCTTCTTGACCCATCAAAGAATGGAAGTGGTGCTTTAACTGAGCCTCAACGCAAGAGTAGATTTTGTAATAAAAAAAAACAGTGAAGGGAATTCTAGAATCAAGTCAAATCAGTGGGACTGGTGATTTAAATGTGTCTGAAGTCACAGAATAGTTAACACTGCCCTTATCTTTAAAACAATCCAAGTCTCCAGAGAAGTCTTCCTTCAGTCATATTTTTACAATCATAGCTGGATACTATCACAGTGGGATGTTATGCTATAATACTGTAATAGTAGGATAAACAGGCACTGTTTAGGAAGATGTATCATTATATAGGCAGATGCATGTTTGACATTTAAATACATTGAAGTAGAGCAGGAGAGAATAATTTATGTATTTTAGAATGATGACCACTTGTACTTCATGGATATTTGTAAGACAGGCAGCACTGTCCCCTAGTGGCCATATGGGGGATTACATAGGACAGTTTTTGAGGCTTCTTTTTATTAGCTTATGTTTACATATAGAATAATGATGTTCCTTCTGGGGAGTTAGTACAAGCACATCATGCATATAACCTATCTTGACCATTTTCAGTGGTGTTCCTCTATCTTCCTTCTCTTCCTTTAAACCATGCCAGTGAAGTAAATGGGTCTTTGGCGGGGGGCAATGATTGCTTCAGATGGAAGTAGTTCTGTCTCCTTAAGATTAGATACAATACATTGGTTGCCCTTTGTCAGGTGTGTCTCAGGTGAATCAAGAGAAATTGGGATTCTGGACATTTCAGTAAAGGGGGGTGTCTTTAGAGGCAGACACTTCCTTCAATATTCATGTCAGACCAATATGATTCTTTTACACTAAAGAGAACATGTTCACAAATAGACTTTAAAAAACATGAATGCCCTACATTTTCTAAAAACTCGCCAATCACCTTTCTTAGTTTTAGCAAATAATGATATGTGGTGGTATGTTACTGTGGTATTTAGTTGCATTTTCCATGATGACTGTGATTTACAATAAAGATCAGTAAGTCTTTTTCACAGAGGAGTCACTATCTGTGAGTCATTTAGTCTGTGTTTTAGCTACTCAGGTCCATCACCGCAGGCTGAAAGAAGCTGTGTTCATTAGAGTGGACTGGGAAAGAGGCAGCAGTGACGGAATGCAGGGGATTTGTAAGACTGGGAGAGACAACACTTCCTGTTTCTTGATGTCAGAAAAGAGCAGGAGGTAATTCCACCATGTTGATGGCCACATTCCACTGACACAAAGCGGAGTGATGCTGAGCAGCCTGAATGCATGATGTTGACTTAGTGCATGGTGCCTGTGTAGGGAAGGCTCAGAAAGTTCAGAAGAGTGGCCTGGACAGAGGTTTGCTGTGTGGTTGTCAGTCAGAGTGGCATAAAAAGAGCGCAGGTAAGCAACTGCGAGGGCTGAGGTGCTGACAGGAACAGAGAGCAGGTAACCTCTCCAGAGAGCAGCAGAGACTGTGGGCTGGACCAGTGCTGCTGTGCCCTTCCCCTATAATTGTAGGTGACTGGTCGCAAGAGTGAGGCAGATACTCTGTAGTCCCATTCACAGGAGCTCAGCTAACACCTACAGAGCTTTGTCTATAGAAAGAGGACAGTTTTGTCTGTTCAACAAATCCGACCTGATTTACTCCCTGCTGGGCAACACGCTTATTCATTTGCATGATTCCAGCTCAAGCATCAGTTGACACCCAGCCTCCCAACCACAACTACAGAGGACTGGAACTCTGCTTCTAACAGGCTGCAGGGTGAGGACTCTTCATTTTTTAATCTAATAAGAAAGAGCATCCTAGTGGAATTCTGATTGTAGTATAAAAAACAAAACAATTTGAATGGATCCTTATTTGAAGATTCTCTGTCTCTTTCTCCCCCTCTGTCTGTCTGTCTCTTTCTCCTTCTCTTAATGCAGTATACCAGACATATTGAAAAAGTGAATTGAAGGAGCAAACGGTATCACTAAGTGTGAGGGAGTATTTGTTATTATACTAAAACACTTCATTTACAAACTTCATTACAAGATAAATATTTTTAAAACTTGTGATTTAAAATGAGTAGATTTAAAAATGTATGTATTACACATACCATTTGTATATCAATCATAATTAAATCTTATATTTTAAAATCATAATTCAATTTTGAAATGAGGAGAAAGGAAATCATTGGAAGTGAGGGATGCTTATGATGTTATAATGATAACAGTTTCAGATTTATAAGCTCAATCACATAAAGATGCATAATTTAAATATGGGCACTTTTTTGGTAAACAGTATAATTTTTTAATTAGTGTGTCAATAGGCAATACAAGAATATTACCACCAGACCAATATTGTGTTTTTTCCTTCATTGTCACTATATATAATATTATAAAATATCGCATTAGTCCTTGAGACTCAGCTACTACTGATTTTAATTCCTAGTGCACCTGGAGCAGGTACAGAAATGCCCTGCCCTGTGTTCTCTGTTCTGCTTTCGAGCTGCCTGGGCTCTTGTGGTTTGGGTGCGGGCTGCAGGTGCCTGGGGAGCACTGTGTGCTCACTGCACAGAAGTAGGCAGCTGAGTCACGGTGCTGGGAGCTTTGGATGTGCAGGGAGAAATGCCGGCTGGCTGTGCTGAGCTGCGCTGTGAATCTTCCTTCTTTCTTGTCCCCACTGGAGTACATGGATATCAGCAGCTCGGGGCCTTTCCCAGGGTACTGTCTGTACCACCCGAAGGTGTTGGAAAGGCTGTCCCTGTAAGTGCAGTTGAGAGAGGCGGTGTCTCCCTCTGGAACACTGAGGGTCTCAGGACTCTGTTCCACCTCCTTCTGCTGGCTACTCACCCCTGGGGAAAAAGACAATAGTAGGACAAAGAAGATCAGTTGAATAAAGGTTGTTTATCTGCCGTAATCAATGTAATCTATTAATGGGCCTCCCATCCTCCCTTACTTAGAGGCTAACACCGTCTGTGTTTCTCGCACAGCTTTGGAAGAGACAAGTATTTTGGAAGAGACAATCAGTATTTTAGTTCCCATAAAAATGCCCAAACTCACAGATGAACTGAAGCCACAGGATCAATAAGGAAACACTAAAGGATCCCATCTTTATCCTCACCCTGGTTCACTAAGGATTTAAATTTTAAACCTAAAAAGTGAGAATTCTTCAGACACTTCTAATTCTTCTGATGTAAGCAATATAAAAATGTCTTTCCAGTTAGAAAACAGAGGTTCTTTACAATACTCCTGATAACCACCAAGCACCTCTCTTCATCTGTCACTGCCTCTCTCTCTCTCATACATACACGCACACATACATACGCATGTGCACACACACACGCACACACACACACAAACACACCACACATATAGTCATAGTAGCACTGGGAAATACCCTTGGAGTTCCTGAGAAGTTACTGCCATCTGCTGGACTCATGATAGTACTAAAAAAATTCAAAATGTGGGGTTTTGCTATGTGAACTGTTTAAATAAAAACCCTAGCATTTTAATTAAATTAAAAATTTAAGAAACATTTGCTTCAAGTCAATCTCCACTTTTCTGTGAAGTGTGTGTGTTCATGAATTTTACATGAAATGGCAAATCACAAATCCATACAATATTTACTCCAAATAACTGATAGAAACATCTGTTTCTCATATCTATCAGAGAAATATGAATTTAGTACATGAATGTCCATAGGAGAATCAAATACTCAGTATTACTTAAATATAATTTAAAATGTTATAGTGACATTGTAAATAAAATTTAACACTAATTCCAAAACAAGATTAAAATCCCCTTCAGCATAAGTGTTCATTTCTAGGGATGGAATGTCTCACTGCTGGAAGTGTCAGTATTTTTCTTCTTTCTGGCGATTAAACCAAAACTCAGCATGTTGGTCCAATACTCCTGTGTGGGTCATAGTGGACAGCATGCTGTGTCCTCGCTGTCTGTACTCCAGGATTTCTCCCAATTAGCTGAATGTGGAATTGTGGGGAACATCATTGTGGTTAATACCACAGATTTATTTCATCCTACTATTTAGAACTTCACTGAAGTAGCTTTAATTAAATGTTTTCTGAGACAAATGAAATTATTTAGTCCCAGCCTCTGTCAGGCAGATTTATCAGAATGCTTGCTCATGACAAAACTTTCTATAGACTAACGTAATATAGGGCAAAGACTAGATAAAGAAGATGGCCCATGTGAGTCATTTTTATTCCTCCATGTCTCAAAGAGTGTGCCAGTAATCTAAGGCTACAACCTCGACATCTGGGCCATTTCTCAGAGGTGTCTTTGTAGTAAGTATCTGTGACAGATGAAGTAGTGTCCTATCTGAGACAAAGATCAAACTTGTTTACTGCTTACCATTAAAACAGGGAATCCCCCAACCTCAGAGTGTCTGTGCTATGACAAGCTCACTGTAGGCAGAAGAGTCAAGGGACCAGTGGTGTCACATTTTGGTACACCAGGGAGGGAGTAACTGAAGAAAAATACTAGTGAGTTTGTGTTTATTGTGCCTTTAGAAGTGAATTACTTTATCTTTAATTCCAAGGCTATGCATCATTCAAACAACGAACAATACTCAGTTGAAAGTTTAAACTAAAAGGCCCAATACACCTTCTTTACTAGAGAAAAGATATGAAGTATTTTTGAAAAAGATGATTTTCCCAAATTGACTGAAATGTATCCTTTTTGAAAGATGTAGTATGTAGCTCCTTGTGGGAATTACACACTATCTCTGGCAAAATGCATTAGAAAATTTCAGGATATTCAGTGAAGTAAAGACTCCTGCAAAATTAGTGCTACAGGCTCAGAAGACTACAAATCTTACGAAGATCCTAAAACTACTGCTCAAACAGGAAAACTAGGAAAGTTATTAAGCAGTGCTCTGACCATCATAAAGATATTTTACAATACCCTGTACAATTCTAATCTGTAAAATGTCCATCAATTATTTTAATTTATTTTCTGAAGAACCTTTTTCCTAGCAGTAATTGAATCAAAACTTTGACAGGTGCTCAAACCATTCAATAGGAGAGGTTATTTTTAATTTTGCTACTTTTTTGGTTATGTCTTTTCTTCTTTCTATCATTCCCGTACATGGCTTCCCATTAGAGTTCAGTCTGCCCTTCTGATAAAGTGAGTTGCATTGGGTGACAGAAAGCAGAGACTCTCAGTGGATGGTAATTATTTGCTAGGTGTGTCTGGGCACAGTGAGATAGGGATGCAATTTGGGTAGACCAGAGCTGCACATCCCTACTGAAGAGGAGACTGTGCAATCAGTTGGATTTGTTGAGCTCATAATGAGAAGAAAAAGGAAGACTGAGATGAGGGCCAAGAGCATTCCTTCCCTCATTCACTCAGTCATTCATTCTTTAGATGTCTCTGACCTGACCCCAGTGGGTCAGTCACTAAGTCTAAAAGAGATAACCGAGGTGGGGTAGAGGGTATGAACAGCAGGAAGACTGGAAAATCAGAAGATCTCTCTTCTGTAGTTATATTTCAGCTGAGAACTGAATGGGGAAAATGAATCAGAGTGGCTGAGATTTGGAGGAACAGCGGTTCAGGTGGATGAAAGACTTAAGTGTGAGAAAAGAGATAGGAAGTTCAGGAAACGGAAGCAGACCAATATGGGAGAGGAGAGTTAGGAGCAGACACTGAGGAGCCAGGCCAGGTTCCAATCGTGTGGCCCTTGTGTATATCCTCACATTTGTATTTCCCTCAGCAGCCATAGAAAGCTGGGAAGCTTTTCAGGTAAGTGGAGATAGTTTCTGATACACACTCTAAAACAGTCACTCTAGGAACCCATCAGATGACACTGCTGCAACTGACACGTGACAGATTCTTTCGGGGACTTGTCAGGCTGTGGATCTGAGTCAGTGCATCTGGAGGCCCTGCGATTTTGCACAGTACAGAGACTGCTCTTCCTGGCTCTGAGAGCAAGGGCATGCGCAATAGATGCCTTGGAGGAAAGGAGCCAGCGAGAGGGTGAACTTGGACCCAAACAAGGTGGTTTGCTTTTTTTCTGATGGGTGAGACAGGATATTGATTGTGTGTGCTGGAATCTGTTGTGTTCTCGGCCTGTTTACTTAGTTTTTAAGACCTACACACGAAGTTTTAAAGTTGAAACACCATGAAAACTTTCTCCTAACACACAAAATAAGTTAAATAGTCTTGTCCACAGTCGACAAGATATTGGGAATCAGCATCATTAACATACCAGTGCTGGAATCACATATCAGTGAACAATATCATCACGGAAAGTAGAATTTCAAGGTCACGTGTTGTCTCTGAGGAACTGTATTTCCAACAAAACTATAACTTGATGTGTGTAAAGCACTGGCACACACCTGCAATCTCAGCCTTCAGGAGGCTGAGGTAGGAGCATTGTTGCAAATTCGAGGCCAGCCTGGAAAACACAGTGAGTTAAATGCCTGCTTAAACCTCTAAGCAAGACCCTGTTTCAACAACAACAACAGCAGCAATAAAAAATAACAAAACCCAAACATTGTCTATACTATTTGGAAACAATATAAAAGTGATTACTCCTTTACAAGTCTGTATGAAATAGGAAATCATTTAAAAATAAGCCATAACCATGAAGCAATAGTAGCTAATAGAGCGAGAGCGAGAGAGAGAGAGAGAGAGAGAGAGAGTTCAACCTTAATCCCTTCTTAAAATTTCCTATTATTTAATCTTCATTTGTTTTCATTACTTCCTTCTGTCTATTGTATAAGAATTGCTCATTAGATTGGGAAATTATTTTTTTTAAATGTTTTTTTTTTTTTTTTTTGTCTTTTTCCTTTTAATCAGTACCGGGGACTGGACTCAGGACTCTGCTTGCAAGGCAGGCGCTTATGCAGCTGAGCTAAATCCCCAGCCCCTGGGAAATTATTTTTTGATAATCAATCATTTGATTACAAATGACTTAATTGAAAATTCATTTAATTTAATTTGTTCCTTGGAGCCTATGTTGATATAGATGTTACTACAGACAATGCAATGTATGTGTTGTGAGTTTACGTGATTCTGTCTATGGTGAGGAATTTGTGACAGGTACAGAACTTCGGTGCCTATGGCTTCAGACACCTGCTGGTCTTGAAAGGAATCAAGGGAAGCCGGTGTGTGGGCCTCGAGGTTCACAGCACATTCCTGGGACAGAAATGCACACTGTGCACGAATTAGGACTTGAACTTCATGAGGGGAACGCCTTTGGTGTTTTAATTTGTCTGTTTTGTTAACTACTACTCAAACCTATGTGTACACCTAAAATTTATTAGCTATCTGATAAATAATTGCATAACAAATACATTCAATTTGTTTCTGTTCTTTAAGACCTAATTGGATTTTCTATTTCCTCATAAAGAGTCCACTGGCCTTTTCTATGCCACAGCAATCCCCAGAGAACAAATTTAAACTTTATTTTCTTCATATACTTTGAATTTTATCTATTGCTTAAATTCTTATGTGTGTTATACATTTTCTTAAATTGTAAGTCTTGTGATAGTTTGATTCTAGTTAGAGCCAATCATTTTATATAGTTCATTATAAGGTCAAAATTTTTAATATAGGGCATTGTACAGATGCAACGTTTACAGTCTTTCTGAGTACTATATATATATATATATATATATATATATATATATATATTACTTTTCCTTACCTACTTCATGATTAGCCAAGAGGAGAATCTTTCATAACATTCTGAACACAAAAGAGTTATTAATTTCTGATGTTTGGAGGTTTCAATAATAGTGGCTGAAATCAGTAAATGTTTACTGAGCTTTGATTTTGGAACAGAATTTTGAGTGCAGTAATTCATTTAATTCCAACCACAACTGGCAATAATAGAAGTTAGGAATTTGAGAAAGGCCACAGAGAAGCAGGGAAAAATCATATTTAAAGGCCGTTAATCTATCCAAAGTTGTCTTCTCCTTGTCTAATATATAATCCTAGTGCTGATGAGCTTGTGAAAAGATCTATCCATCATGGAGTCACTGAGCATTCAGCAGCCCAGCACTGTGGCTTTCAAAGACATCAGGGGATGAGCTCCCGAGGAACAGTGAGCAACACATGAGCTGTAGGACTGTCACCTTCCAAGGAAGGCAAGAACGAGACTTAGGGAAGAGAATATCAACACAGTGCTACCAAAAACAGTTCAATTTTGACTGTTTAACACTATGATTTATTTCAGATGAGGTCTGACAAATTCATGTACATGACAGGGAAATACTGTCTGTTTATCACATGTGCTTCTCTGTGGCAAATCATCATGACCTTGCAGATCTGTTACAGTAATA